ACTAAAGTTGCATTGAAAATGAAAATAATAATATGAATAAGAGTTGATACTAGACAACTAGAGAGAGAGAAAGAGAGAGACAAGAAGGCCAAATCTGGCGCTGATCGGTTGGATTGATTACCAAAATTTCCAATAGTTAGACCATAAATAGAGAAAGTAAAACAGAAATGCGAAGGAAGAGTAAGATAAAATATGATGAAATTGATTCAATTCATCTCATTCATAGCTAACACTTCACATGCTTGCTGAATATTATAATTTATAGAGTAGATAGAGATATCTTGATTTTGACCAACATAATGAAATAGATGTATGGGGTAAAATTGGTTAATTAGAGTTGGACAAATGACAAGATGACACGTGGAATTGAAGACAGGTAATTTGTGAGTCAGTAGATAGTTGGCACCAGATGCAAGCATGTGATTGGTACTGTGTGAATTTCGAACGCATGGTAACCGATAACAAAGATTTGAAGGAATGACACCGGATGGCATTTAATGAGAAGCCGTTACAAAGAATCTCTGTATTAATAGCCAATCAATATGCAGCCATCAATGGTGATTTATTCTCATTCAAGAGGAGCTTGATTTGGGGATCTTGTCTCCCTCAATAGAGCTATAAAGAGGAGAATTAGTATCCATTATAGAACACGAAAAATCATTTGTACACAAAGGATATAATTTGCTCTCATGTTTATAAAGTTATTCGCTTTCTTTTGTTCTTAATTTTTTTCATATCACTGCTTCTGGGAAGGCTTATCATAGAATTAGGCTTGTATTTCTCTAAGTTATTTTTACATTCTTGATTTTATTCTTATTTATTTCAAATTTTTGGATCAAGTTATTTTACGTGTCTATAGATCAAGTTACAAATTTAACTGTATTGTTTTATGAGTAAACAGTTTGGCATCCACTATGGGGCATAGACAATTGTATAATTGCTTTGATCCCCTCATCTATTACTAACGAATTTTGATTCCTTTCTTACCCAAAAAAAGAAAGATATGGCAACTAATGATGTCAATACTTCCTATAACGTTGAAGCACACAAAGAATGTGAGGATGTGTTCCAACGCGGTGATTCAACTAGTGAAACCTGCAATGAAGGAGATGAAACAACTCCAGTTCGCGAAGGTCAAAATCCTCGGCATGTGAGGAGTCCAACTCCTGATGATGCGGATGACGAACATGGTCTTGAAACAGTCAAAATCTTGAGAGAGCAACAAAGAGAAATTGTGGATCACCTCTCAAGACTAGACTAGGTGATGACAGAATTGAAGCAGGCACTATCAGTTGCTTCCAATAATTTTAATGGAGGATCTCGGATTCCTCCCAGCGTCCCTACAAATCAAAAATTTCAAAGAACAGGAAACGAAGCTCCAAGGGAGGAGTTCAATTTTAACGAGGCATGAGGTACGAACAATGGATCAGGGAACGAAAACAATGCAAATGACCTTTTTAAAACCGAGCTCACGAGATTCTTAAGGGAAATGAATGAACGAATGGACCAAAATGCTAAAGAATTCCACCGCTTGGATGGATCAGATCCCGGAAGCACCACCAGTACTAAGGGACTAGATTCCAAAAAATATATGTAATTGTCGTTGAAACCAAGTGCGGGCCCAGAGTTAATTCCGAAAAGGTTTAAGATGTCGGATTTTCCAAAGTATGATGGAACTTTAGATCCAAAGGAGCATATCACGACCTACACTACGGCTATGAAGGGAAATGACCTGGCACAACACGAGATCGAACTTGTTAAAGAAATTTGGCGAAACCCTGACGAATGGTGCTTTAACTTGGTATTCTCTTTTACCCGAGAATTCCATTGATTCTTTTGAAATGCTTGAAGATTCATTTATTAAAGATCATGCTAGAGCAAGAAAGGTTCCAGCAAGGAAGGTGTATATATTTATAATAGCCCAAGGAGAATCTGAACTATTGTGAGAGTTTGTGATCCGATTCAAGAAGGAAAGGATGTTATTACCAGTAGTACCGGATGAGTGGGAAACGAAAGCATTTAAAAATTGTATCCAACCCATTGAGATACGATGCCTTCAGGATATTGAAGGAAAGCTTGCTAGAATTTCAACCAACGACATGGGCAGATGTTCACGGTCGCTACGAGTCAAAGATTAGAATAGAATATGACCAACTTGGTTCTTCGATGTCTTCCAAAGGACAAAATCGTGATCAGAATCAAGAAAAATTCGAAAGTGATTTTGATACAGATCGGATGTCCTTTTAAGAGTCATTTTCAACCTTACAAAAGGGCCGATGGGTGAGGTAATAAAGGTTTTCAGTCATCGGATAGGTTCTCTTCCAATAGAAGGGCGAATCATGGTCGAAGTAGCAGAGCTTTGCAGGAGAAAGATGCATCAGGGTCCCGAGATTCAACATATCCCTGGTTATCCAACTACAACTTCAACATCAGCTTGGCAGAACATGTGTCGGTTATGAGGAACATAAAGGAGGCTAGGTTCCCTAAACGAATTCGATCAGATCTTAGCCAAAGGGATCCTAAGCTATGGAGTGAGTTCCTTGGGACGCATGGTCATAGGACTGGGGACTGCCGGCACCTTCGAGAAGAGGTGGCAACATTTTTAAAAAATGATTACCTCAGAGAATTTATATGTGATCTGGCTAAGAATAACTATGGGAAAAATCGAGATGTTGTAGAACCATCAAAACCTGTTGCGGGTTCACCTTGCATGACGATAAACATGATCTTTGGGAGACGAAGTAAATGGGGTGACATTTTTGGCAGCCAAAAAGATGAAGATATCGGTAACTCATGGAAAAAAGATTCAAGAAGTTTCAGAAGATGACACCACATTTACAGAAGAGGATATTGATGGACTTCTCTTACCACACAACGACGCTCTGGTAATTTCTCTTAATGTGTTAGATTTCAAAATTAAATGTGTGTTGGTTGATCCAGGAAGTTCTGCTAACATCATATAATGGAGAGTCTTGTAGCAAGAAAAGCAAACCAAAAACATAGTTCCAAAAATAAAGCTTTTAGCTAGGTTCAACTTAACAAGTGTTACAACCCGGGGAAATATATTGCTGCCCACACATGCGGAAGTCATAACAAAACCCACTCTGTTCGAAGTGGTAGATGGTGACAGGGGATACAACGTGATCCTTGGAAGGCCATGGATACATGAAATGAAGGTTGTGCCTTCAACATACCATCAGGTATTGAAATTTTCCACACCGGAAGGGATCAAGCAGATCAGAGGAGATCAACCAACTACAAGGAACCTTGTGCAGTAGCAAGTGCAAAGAAATGATGAGCAAATAGAAATAATAGAAACTGGTGCCTTCTTCCACCTCGATTGAAGAAAAAATAAGTCATCAGAATTTTCTCAGGTACCTAGGTCTTTTCAAGTATCGGAGGAAACAGGTGCGACCAAATCAACCATAGAAGAGCTCGAACAAGTGGCCTTGTTCACAAAGTTTTTAGAAAGAAAATTTCACTTAGGAACGGGGTTGAGTCCCGAACTCAGGTTAAAAATTATAGATTTTCTAAAAACTAACGTAGATTGTTTGCATGGTCGCATTCAGTATGACAAGTATTTTATTGGAAGTGGTTGTCCACAAATTGAGTTTGGATCCAACTTCCCTCCGATAAGACAGAAGAAACGACTGATAGCAGAGGTCAAAAATAGGTTTGTCAAAGAAGAGGTAACTCGGTTACTCAATATAGGTTCAATTCGAGAGGTAATTACCCCGATTAGCTGGCTAACATAGTAGTAGTACCTAAAAAGAATAATAAATTTAGAATGTGTGTGGATTATAAAGATTTAAATAAGGCATGCCCTAAGGACTCTTTCCTATTGCTAAACATTGATCAAATGACTGATGCTACAGCCGGGCATGAGTTAATGAGTTTTCTTGATGCATATTCTGGGTATAATAAAATTAGGATGCACCCGGAAGATCAAGAAAACACATCATTTATCACAAATTTTGGCACATACTGTTATAATGTTATGCCTTTCGGGCTTAAGAATGACGGAGCTACTTACCAGAGGCTTGTTAACAAGATGTTTGAACAACAGATTGGTAAGACAATGGAGGTTTATATTGACGACATGTTGGTTAAGTCTCTTAATGCAGGAGATCATTTGAATTATCTCCAAGAAACATTTGTCATTTTGAGAAAGTACAACATGAAGCTCAACCCAAAGAAATGTGCCTTCGGAGTTGGTTCCTGTAAGTTCCTGGGGTTTTTGGTCTCTCTAAGGGGAATCGAAGTAAACTCCAATAAGATCAAAGCCATCAAGGACATCCCAGACCAATTGACAAGTATGAAGGAAGTGCATAGATTGATCGGCAGGCTCATACATAAACAGGTTTATCTCGAGATCTTTGAGAAGTGACATCATTTCATTTCGCTTTTGAAAAAGAAGAATGATTTAGTGTGCACTCTATAATGCCATCAAGCATTGAAAGACCTAAAAAGGTACTTATCTAGTGCATAGATTGAAACACAAACTGTTTTTTTTTTTCAAAAGTACTTTCACAAAAAGTACTTCTGAAAAAAATTACTTTTTAAAATAAACAGATTTTGGCAACTTGGCCAAACAGGCTCTTAGACTATCAATAGCAGAACCTAACCATCCTTTTCATTTCTTTACATTGCATTGAAACATAAAATTTTTCTTGGATGACGAGATAATAAATAAAAAAGTAATTAGGTGATAATCAAACAAATTTACGTTCATAACCTACATTAATTTGACATCAAATTAAAATTAAAAAGGGCTGCGTAAAGAGAAGCGAAATCACGTAAAGAAATACATCCGGCTATAAGAGTTTAAACTTTAAACATACCAAAGACCAATAATTTTACTGGTTAATCTTGTTATTCGTGATAAATCCAAGGGATTTTTTCTTTTAATGCGACAAGTAGTGCACTATAAAAGCTGTAGTAATTCAGAATTGTGTCTTCTCATCCTTCTCTGTGGCAAAATCCAGTACAGACAAATATAATAATCTCAATTTTCCCTTGAATTTCTTTATCCATCCAAATGGCAGAAAGGAAATCCAATTTTTTGGATTTCTGTTATTAATTCCCAATTCCAGTAAAGCTACTGCATATCATGTTTCAGCAATATGAAAGCACGTTTCAGTAAAAGACCAATTACTAATGCAGAATGCTCACTGGTATATTTTACAAGGAGGTGCTCTGACCAGTATACCCTACATTCATTTTTGTTTTCAATGATAATCTATAATCTAAAAAAAAGCTATGAACAGAAGAACTAGGAATTGTATCACCATCGATTTTCAGGATCTCAGAGTCTCCGATCAGGCTGATAGAAGTTTCTGGTGCAGGGTATATGTATTTTGCTTCTCAAGCTTCTTCCACAAATACAAAGCTCTTCTAATTATGGTATCCGCGGAAAATCCTTCAGCATAAGCACTAATAGCCGTTAAGAGGCTAGTAAATTTCTCCCCGCCATCCTGCATCCAAAATCTCAACTTTCAGATGCCAGCAATCATACATGCATCAGCATTTGCTTTAGTTTTTCATAAGTTCTTGACCTGATTTTCTAATGCCCGTTGCAAACTATATAACTTCAAGCTTCAATATAATCTACACACGCATAGCAAAAACCTATCTCGGACATAGACCTAATCTCGAAAACAGATAAGTAGCTTACACCAAGTTCAGAGATCAGGCTAATCAAAACTCACACAACAAACACTTGCAGGGATAGACAAGGTGCTTTTAAATGTATGGACTGCTCTAGCTGCTGTCTGTGTGGACCTTGAAATTCGTTATGTGGAACATTTATCTTTGAGCAATGTATAGACATACTGCATGTCAAAATTTATTCTTCCAAGGAAAGAGCAATATTCCATAGGCTGAAAACAAATATACGAGAAATTTGGGCTAGAAGAACGACATACTTCACAATTAATAACCACGTGTACGCATGCGAGAGATTTAGAAGTTCACTCCCTGGAGTGCCCTGTCCTCGCTCTAGGAAAACTATTTTACTATTTGCCACCAGACAAATTTGGATGGTTGGATGTTGGCGAATAGCTTATAGACATCAATAAACATGGACACTGCAGGTCTAAGGACCTTGATAATAAGTGAATTGCTGGGTTGCTCCCAAACGGAGGCAGCATCAAGATTTCTAGAGGAAAAGCTACTTCATATTAATATTGACTCACCTCTGGTTTCTCAAATATCAAGTCATCAGGGGCAAAAGGAACCATGTAGGATGGCAGATCACATCGTAATATTGCCTGCGTAATTGACAGAATTAATCACCACGATGAATGATGAGTCACAGGTACATATCATAGGGAAAAAGCTACATACTAGATCCTTGCTTAGTCTAGCCAGCTCCGCATTGGATAGCAATACCTGAAAACAAATTAACCAGTCAACTTAAGCGTTTAAGTTATGACACACCTACTCATCAAAAGCAGAAGAATGTGGAAGGAATCACACGCGGAAGGGAGAAATATGCATAATTCCATGAAGAAATCATTAACGCATTCAAGAGTAGTTAGTGAAGGAATAGAAATATTAGCTTATCTTGAGATTAAAAGAAAAGGAAACAAGAAAAGCTGAACAGTCAGCTTTTCTTGATCTCGTGACTAAAACCAGCTCCTTTTGAAGAAGATTCCAAGGAAATACACAAAACATATCGGCAAATTGACATTGTAAGAGGTACTAGCATAGTTCCCAACCCAAAGGATAAGTAAAATATTATTCCTGGAAATGTCAGTATATCATACTAAAAGGCTGATAAAAATAATGTACACTTAAATATAAGATTTATGACAGAAATTAATTTTGAGGAGAACTTTTGATGGTTTCCTGTCAAAGAAAGTCATTCATATTTTCATCTGACATAGGATAAAGAACATAATGCTTGAAGCTAAACAAACTAGCTAACCTATAATGTAACTATCCCAATTTACAATATTTAAGTATATCTGTACAGAATAATATCAGCAAGAAAATCTCTGAAATCAGCAAGTGGTATACTGATTTGGTTAATACAACAACAACAAAAAACTGTAATCCACAAGTGGGATCTGGGGAAGGTAGTGTGTACGCAGACCTTACCCCTACCTTTAAAAAGGCAGAGAGCCAGTTTCCGCTAGACCCTCGGCTCATGAAAAAGGAAGGACCAACAATAACAACAACAAAAAACCAATCAGAAAATCGAAGCGAAGGAAACAAGTAATAACAGAAATCTAAGAATAAGAAAATACAAGACTAACATTAAGTAATGCACTAAAACTACTGGTATGAGCCAGGACAATACTCGGCTACCTAGCCCTCTACATTAATTCTCAACCTCCACATTTTCCTATCCAGGATCAAGTCCTCGCTAAGCTGGAGAATCGCCATGTCTTGCCTAATTACCTCTCCCTAATACTTCTCCGGCCTGCCTCTACCTCTCCGGCCCTCCAAAACCAACCTCTCATACCTCCTCACCGGAGCATCTATGCCTCTCCTCTTCCCATACTCGAACCATCTAATAAGCTCGCTTCCCGCATCTTGTCCTCCACAGGGGCCACGCCCACCTTGTCCCGAATAACTTCATCCATAATTTTATCTATCATGGTATGCCCGCATGTCCATCTCAACATCCTCGTTTCTGCCACTTTCATCTTCTAGGTATAGGAGTTCTTGACTGGCCAACACTCAGCCACATACAACATAGTCAGTCTGACCACCGCTCTATAGAACCTATCTTAAGTTTTGGTGGCACATTCTTATCACACAAAATACAGGAAGCGAGCCTCCATTTCATCCACCGCGCTCCAATATGATGTGTGACATCCTTGGCAATCTCCCCATTTATAACTGAACCAAGGTACTTGATGCTTTCTCTCCTAGGAATGACTTGTGAATCAAGTCTCACGTCTTTGTCCACTTCCTAAGTCGCACCACTGAACTTGCACTCTAAGTAGTCTGTCTTGCTCCTGCTCAACTTGAAAACTTTAGACTCCACGGTTTGCCTCATAACTTCTAACCTCGCGTTAACACCATCCGCGTCTCGTCAATCAGTACAATGCCATTTGCAAATAACATGCACCATGGCACCTCCCCTTGAATGTAGCGCGTTAGTGTGTCAATCGCCAGTGCATACTGATTTGCTAATATCGTGATGAATCTTCTATGCTCCAACAATCTCCCTCAAGCTAACTTGAGAATAGTTTTCATTGCCAGCTTGCTTATCAAACCGTCGATTTGCTTTGTTTGCAGTCCTTTAGTAAGTAAATCAATGGCAGTTGGTAATGTATGGCATGCAACACAGTCCATTATCAAGTTTTTCGTAAGTGCCAATCTACTTCTGCATGTTTTGCTCTTTCATAAAGAACCAAACTATGAGTAACAGAAATTGATGCTTTACTATCGCAGTATACTTTCATGGGAGAAAATTGAAAATCGAAAATCTTCAAGAATTCTAAGAATCGTTTACTCCACATTTCACAAATCTCATGAGCAACTGGTCTAAATTCAACCATTGTGTGAGAAAGAATTGAGTTTGAAAGAGAACTTGATTATTCCCTCGAAGCAATTGGGGTTTTAGCTAAGTTCTAAGAAAAGAAAGAGAATCAAAATGAACATAATTATAGGAGTAAATCAAGCTATACTCTATCTACAAGATCCTAGAATATTCTACGAGATTCTAACACTTCCTCTAAAGCATAACTTACAAATGTAGCTAATACGAGAATCGGTGAGGGACTTGGTTAAAATATCTATAAGCTGCTCATTTCACTTCACGAATTTTGTAACAATATTTTCTGAGAGTATCTTTTCTCTAATAAAGTGACAGACGATTTCAATGTGTTTAGTTCTCTTAAGAAACACGAGATTTGATGCAATATGAAGAGCATCTTGGTTATCACACACAAATTTCATCGAACTGATTTCTCCAAACTTCAATTAATTAGTATTTGCTTAATAGAAATTAGTTCTCAAATTGCCAAACCCAATGCTTGGTATTCACTTTTGTACTAGACTGAGTAACCACATTTTGTTTCTTGCTTTTTCAAGACACCAAATTATCTCCGACGAGAACACTATATCCAGATGCGGAGCCCATATCAGAAGGTGATCGTGCCTAATCGACGTTTGTATAGCTAATAATCTGCTCATGACCTCAAGCTTCAAAAAGAAATCCTTTGCCAGGGGCAAAGTTTATGTATCGAAGAATATGAATAATTGCATCCTAGTGACTACCACATGGAGAGTCCATAAACGGACTTACAACACTAACATGAAAGGCAATGTCAGATTGAGTCATTATGTGATAGTTCAACTTAACAACCAGACGCCTATACCTTCCAGGAGGCTCCCCATGTCGTGGTAGAAGTTTAATGTTCCTGGGCATAGGAGTGTCAATGGGTCTACAACCTGTCATACTTGTCTCCTCGGGAATGTCTAAGGCATATTTACGTTGTGAGATGACAATTCCTTATTTGGACTGCTTGACCTTAATGCCTAGGAAATACTTCAACTTGCCTAGGTCCTTCGTCTGGAAATGCTGAAAGAGATGTTGCTTTAATTTAATTATACAATCTCCATCATTGCCCATAATGACTATATCAACAACAAACACAATCAAATAAAATGCGTAGATTATGAGCCGTATGTCTATAGAATACTGAATGAAGAGTCATACCAAACTACTAAATGACCGTGCTAAACTTACCAAAACAAGCTCAAGGAGACTATTTCAAACCATATAGGGACTAACGCAACCGGCATACAAGATCACTATACTCCTCCAGAGCAACAAAACAAGGTGGTTGCTCCATGTATACTTCATCCTCAAAATCACCAAAGGAGAAAAGCATTCTTAATATCCAATTGATAAAAAAGCCAATAGCGAACAACAGCCACGGATAGAAAAAACGGACATGCAATTTTAGGGGAGAAAGTATTTTCGTAATCAAGCCTAAATATCTGAGTATAGCCATTAGTAACAAGGCGGGCTTTAAGTCGATTATTTTGACCATCTGGAGTAACTTTGACTGCATACATTCATCGACAATTAACGGTAGATTTACCTGGAGGTAGAGGAACAAGCTCTCAAGTACCACTAGCATGTAAAGCAAACATCTCTTTGACATAGCCCGTCGCCATCCGGGATGAGATAGCACTTCACCTATGTACTTAGAGATAGAAATAAAGGACAATGATGCCACAAAGACATAATGGGGTGATGATAAATGATGATAACTCAAACCAGTATAGTAGGATTGAGTTATGATTGGATCAAATACCTTTCTGAGTGTGAATGATGCACTAGGGAGAGACAAGTATGCAGTACATGAAGGATCCTATATGGGACGTGAATCATCAGGACTTGATGTTGGACGCTAAGTCAAGAGTAGTGGAAACCTAGAAGGTTGAACTGGGGCAGTAGGTGAGAGAATTGGAGTTGTAGATGATGGAACTGGAGCTGTAGATGGTGGAGCTGGAGCTGTAGCTAGTGGTGCTAGAGTTGTAGGTGGTGGAGCTACGGAGGAAAAGGAGAGAGTGTCTGAATCTCCAAAAGATGAAATTGGTAACCACCTCATAAATGTCTAGGTGATTACCTGAACATGTGCGGTATGGTTGGGTTTCGACTTTCGAAGAAGTAACATCAACAAACATAAGCTATCGTTAAAGATTAGCTGAATAGCACCGATATCACTTATGCGACCCCGAGTAACCTAGAAACACGCATTTAAGAGCACAAGGAGCTAACTTCTGGAGTAGAGTTATGATCAAAGCACGTGCTCCCAAAGTCACGACGTGGAAGATAGAACAAAGGTGAGTGGGGAAACAACAACAACAACAACAAAACCAGTGAATCCCACAAGTAGAGTATGTGGATGGTAGTGTGTACACAGAACTTACCGGTGAGTGGGAAAACAACAACAACAACAAAACCAGTGAATCCCACAAGTAGGGTTTGTGGATGGTAGTGTGTACACAGAACTTACCCCTACCCAAGGAAGGTAGAGGTTATTTCTGAGAGACCCACAGCTCGGAGAAGATAAAAAAGAACAATATGAACAAGCAATATCAACAACAAAGGCCATAAAGATAATAACAGCAATCTAAAAGCCATAAAAATAGATGGAATGAAGCAATAGAAATAAGCAGTAACAACAGCAAGATACTATAAAACCGAAGCAGAAGATAGTAGGAAAATAACATGTAATACTAGCAATTTAAGAACAAAACACTAACAGACTAACCCTAATACCACGGTACGGAACAGAACTACACTCGACTACTTACTACCCTTTCTACCCTAATTCTCGACTTCCACACCCTCCTATCAAAGGCCATGTACTTGGTAAGCTGAATACGCGTTATGTCTTGCCTGATCACCTCTTTCAAAT